GTTAATTAGTCAGAACATTAATTGATTTGACTCGATGCATGCCTGTATCTCTTTCTCGTGCTTTGAATAAAGTTAGAAAAGATTGACAGAAGGATCAAACTTTTTGTCATGACTCATGGCCATAGATTAAAACATTTGCATACACAAAATACATTAATTTTAGACAAAATTTTAAAGGAAAATTAATTTTGATACATTAAAATAATTTTTAAATTAAGTGTTTTATTAATTATTGACATAAAACTATGTGCTTTGATTTTGTCCTGTTATAGAAATAATTTTTTTTTCTATAAAATAAATGACAAACTAAATAATAATAATAAGAAAGTGAAAGATGCACTGTATTCAAAAACTTTGTATTATTTGTAGTGATTGCATGACATCAATTTTTTCTCAGTAACATAATTCTTATTTATTCCTAAAAATATTACTTAAAAAAATCAACACCTATCATTTAATCATATAGACTTCTTTTTTTTTTGGGTAAACAATCATATAGACTTTTTATTATGATTTAGACTTTTTTTAAGTATGTTATTAATATAATTATACAAATAAAAAAAGTTATTAATTAGTCTCAGATATAAGAAAATACGATTATATTTAATAAAGGTTATCAAATATTTTTAAATAAATATTTAGTATACTGATTTATAAAATTTTAGCTAATGTTTTAAATGTATTGATTAAGATATTAAAATAATAACTATTAAATATAAAAAATTGTTAATGAGCATCTTTAGAGCATTAGTTGAGAAATTTAAAATAAAATATACTACATAGAAACTAAAGTATTTAATATATTAAGAGTATAAATTTTTTATTATTTTCTTCTTTAAATGATTAAAAATATTTAATAGAATGTATTAAATGTTCCTTAAGTACAATTAAATTTATGATACTCGGTAATAAGACTCATAGATATAAATTAAAAATATTTAATATCTAATACCATAACACAATATTTTGGAAGATTATTTAATTATCATAAGATTTGTTGCTATTAATTATTGTGTTATAATTTCTTAAATAATTTGTATTTAATTTATGGGTTCATTTTTTCTACTGTCAATGTAAATAACTTATCTACAGTGAGCCCAAAACGATGTCATTTTGAGGCAAAAATCAAGTTATTTTTCTAATTATAATTTATTTTAGAGTTATAATAGTCTTTTTCATTATAATTTTTTAATTTTTAAACCTAAAACGACGTCGTTTTAGGAATGAATATAAATAACTTATCTACCTTCATAAACATTAAATTCTTAATTTATTACAATTGAGTTTATAATAGGTTTCATACGTTAGGACAGATCTAACTTTTTATTTTTAAAAGTCCATGTAAGTATATAATATAGCACCATCAGATTAATTGGTTACATCAGAGTCAAAATGTTCTACATGGCATGACTTATTTAAGTTAAAATTTAATTTATCCCAACCTATTTACACACTTATTTTTTATGGAATTGTTTCAAATCCTAAACTCGTTCCTTATTTTTTGATGGGATTGTTCCAAATTCCAAAACTCATTGAAAAAATATACAACATGTTATACCTTGTCCTGGAGAGAGAGAGAGAGAGAGAGAGAGAGAGAGAGAGAGAGAGAGAGAGAGAGAGAGAGAGAGAGAGAGAGAGAGAGAGAGCGCATGCGATAAGTTGAAACTCCAATTCAGTCATAATCATGGGGTTGAAGCATCAATTAGGGAAATATTATATGGGATATATTTTTCTTATGTTGTAGGAAAAGAATTACCTCATGTTATAGAAATAAAAGTATAAGTGGGACCCACATGTAAGAGGAGAGAGAAAAAAAAATGGTGGGACCCAACTCCTTTTTGTGTGTGTAGGAGATATGTTTATCTCATGTAAAATGAGATAAACATAACCCATATTATATTGTACAAAGTTAACAAACCATAAGATGTTTACGTTACCTAGTAAGTTTTTTAGGTTCCCTTTCTTCGTGAAAGCTATATCTGCTTGTTGACTTACCTTTGGCAATCGCCAAAATCATCACTGTCTTCTAGGTAGTCTACGCATACGAGCAAAAGATCAGGTTATTAAATTACTCCATGCATATCAATTAATAATGATTTTAAAAGTTTTAATTTATTTCAAATTATTTGTCACTTAAAAAAATAAAAATTATTAATTATTTTTAAAATTTTAAATTTTGTTTTTGTTTCTTAATAACTTCACTAAATAGAATAAGAGAAAGGCTAATTCAATATAATGCAATTAATTTCTCAAAATTAAATGTGTTTTAATTACTATTAAACTTAGTATAAATATTAAACGACAAATATCTTGAAACAAATGGAATATAAATTATAATTGAAAATCAACTGGGATATGATCTCAAAACCATACATCCATACTTAGTACACCTAAAAAGACTTAATTTCTTATTCTAATTTTTTAAATAATATTACGTATCATTCTTAATTTATTTATTTCAAATTCAGATTCTCTTTTCATATGAATATGTGTCTCTTCCTTTTTAATTTTAAATATCTTTTTTTGTTGGTACACAAAATCTTCTCTCTTTTCATATATAATTTTTTTTAAAGTTAGTGTGCAATGACCAGAAATTTTCGTCATGAAATAAGAAATTGTCAAAGTGCGTATGAGTTGGTATATCAGAGCCTTTGTTTATTGGGTTAACAAATGATCCAGTCCATTTTTTAGTAAACAGTAATCCAGTCCATGTATTTAATTTAATAGGATAGAGTTTATGAACTTTTCTGACCTAAAAAAAAAAGGGAGTTCGTGAACCTTTTAAAGGGTTGATTTGGGTTTACAAAACATCCTGCATCACATTTTTAATTACGTACTTTTAAAAATACATAATTGTAATATTAACAATATTTTTTTAACTATGTATTGGGTTTACAGGACATCTTGTAACTCATTTTTAACTATTTTTAACTATGTACTCCCGAGAATACATAGTTGTAATATTAAAAATAATTTTTTTAATTATGTACTCCTTAAAATACATAGTTAAAAAATAATTGCAGGAATGAACAGTACAATTATTGCAAGATAATTCTTATATTTCCGTTGATTTAATAGAGGTCGACTTAGGCTGCTCTATCTAGGAATATAGAATTCGAAGAAGCTTTAGAAAGTCTAACCAATAAAACAAAGGAAGGAAGCTCTAGAAAGATTCTCGAAGTGAAAAATAAAAACGCATTTTTTTCGTAATAGATGAAATAGAATTCCCAGACTCAATTAATTGAAATAAGTTAAATAACCCTTTAGCATTTCTCAGGCAACCAATTTTATGGGGAAGAAAAACCTTGAGGATCATTGTGCCGAAGGTCTTTCCATGTTGAGAGCTTGGGAAGGGAAGATCAAAGGCGATCTGGGGAAAATGACGAAAATTAAGCCCTTTTTATATCAATGAGAGGGTTTATGTCATTCAAAATCAGGAGCAAGACAGATTCTTGATCTCAGCAGAACTTATCAAAGGATGGCAATTAGTAAACTCTAGGAAAGTACATATTTGACAGTCGAAAGCCCAAAACTAGAAACATGACAAAAAGAAAGGGATGGCATCAGATTCGGATAAACCTAGAACCATCACTCTTTAATTGTGCAATACAAATTATATAATGACGTCTGTTTCTGAAAATTCTTCCATTCATTTTTATTCCTATCCTTCAGTTTTTTCACAGCATTTTTTAAAACAACTACTGGTCTTATTTCTCCTCTTCCTGAAATTTGTATTGAAAATATTAAACAACAAAATAAACGAATGGTCGGATACTACCGAATGAATGTCCAAGACAACATACACAAGGAATTTGTGAGCAATGCCAACGATAGTGAGAGAATACAAAAAAGTGACAATGAAACCATGCTTTGAAGTGGCATTATATGAACATTTTCATACTTCTGCCTCTTTGGGCTAAATATCCAACGTAATCAAATAGGATGTGTGAGTAATCAAATATTGATCAGGTTGATTACCTACTTGCATTGTTGAACACCAAAACCTATTATATTAGTATCCCATACACTGAAGTATACGGTCAGACATTAGGGGAAAGGGACAAATAACAATTTAAAGTGCTCAAAATTTAAAATTATATAAGAGCACATCATTCAATTTTCCATTAATTCACACAGCCTGTGTGAGAAGAAAGATAATTTCTTTTACCTTTACGTCAGTTACCAAAGATGCGGTTGGCTGTAAGCTGCCAAAGAAGGATTGGAGCAAGCCAACAGAATAAACAGGCACACTGCCAGTGAATCATTCTGTTAACTCATTTGATCTCAAAATCCATTGTCAGCCCAAAACATTTTCAGTATACAATTAAACAAATGCATACCACACTTGCCTTCAAAATAGAGATTGAGCTCATTGTCTGAGGCAAATCCCTGATGAATAACAAGCTTACAATAAGCTAAAGCTTCATTTCAAAACATCCAATGTCCATGGCCAAATTCAAAGAAAGAGAGGGGAGAGCAATGATTAAGCAGAACCCTGAAGAGCACTTCATGTTTGTTACTCGTTACATATATAGTTTAATTTTTATGTCCATAGATTTTAATATCTAAGGAGGGATGATGCCCTTACATAATGAAGTAAGTCATTAATTACTTTTCTAATCTTTCATTTTTAAATTTATTTCAAGTGAATGTTCTATCTCAGTGGCATCCTAATGACTGACACTGTCATTATTGAGATTTTTTTTTTCCTTTTCTTTCCTTTCTTCCATCACAAGATATACGGATAATAGTTATAGTATTGACTACCCAATTCCAAACTCCTCACTCAAGAGAGGACCTTTTTCACTAGTTTGCCAACAGCCTTACCCTTATTCATTTATAATGGCTTCTCTTAGATTTTTTAATAAATATGCATTGGCTAAATATCTTCAGCACATGGATACCGTTGGTTTTATATTTTTTGGTTTTTAAATTACTCTAGGAAACTGAATTTTGCAACTATAAGGATGAATTTCAATTATTATTATTATTTATCACAAAATTTGGAAGTACATGAAAATCTTAAACAAAAAGCTAAATTAAGAATTTTTTGTACACAGAGATCAATTGGGGAAACTGCAGTTTGGTGCTTCTTTGCTTATTTGTGAGTGAGATGAACCAACGAATTACTAACGATGAAGTTTGAGAAGAAAAAATGAAAAAATTCTTCGTCAAGGAAAATGCATTGTCCTCTTTTGACTGCTATGATTCAAAGTTACGGCTCCTCTTAAACAATATGGGTTGTTGTTGACATAGTCAGCTCCAATCACTATTACTGAAGTGTTGAGAAACATAAACGAAAGACTGAAAAAACCTGTGCCTTTTTAAGACAGCAATCAAGTGGGTTCTGCCTTCACTTCATTGTTTTGAACAATATCTTCCGTCCTAGGAAAGTGACATTATTGTAATAAGAATAAAATAGTTGAATTGTTCATCTATAAGCCTAGAAATTGCAAAAGGACAAATATCTTCTGTTCATTCATTATCAAGTACCATATGCATCAATCCAAGAATGAAGGAATGACCAATAATCAACCACCTGCCTCTAAAAGACATGTCTGTCTCCAACAGAGCATGGATTTTCTGTCTGTACTGAATAAGCCTAAAAATTCAAGCAGTAATTTCTAAAAGAAGTTAACAGATATACCATTATATAAGTTAGGGTTTACCTATTATCTGCATTCTTCACATCCATTACACTTGCTTCTTTATGTTGCAAAATTGATGAGAATAACCTTTTGTCCTGGAATAAAAAAAACCATTGCACTGATATATACATATATAAAATAGAATCTGCACCTAGAACTAATTAAGATTTAGGAATGGTGTCTAAAAACAGTGGAGTACGAATTATATTGTGAAACTAAAATATCAAATATCCAACTACGCAGACAGCCCCAATTTATGAATCACATGAATAATTTTACAGGTATTCATTTAAACATCCACACTTGTGTCTCTCTAAAACAAACTAAGTGCCAGGTGAAAAGAATTAAATTGGAACCTTTGAAAATTACAATAGATAGATGAAGTTTAAAAAAGAGGACAACACCAACAATCATTGGTTCAAGTGGCAAGGAGCTTGTTTTCCTTAATAAGAGGTTTCGAGTTCGAATCCTGAGAATGGAGAAAATGGTGTTGAGAGAGCTGGCTCTAATATGGGTCCGACAATGCTCAAACCAAATTTAACCGGTTTGGATACCAAAATAAAAAGATAAGACAACTAAACACGCAACAGAGAAATCAGAGTGAAGTCGGATATTGTATGTTGAAAAATAAAATCCTTCTACCTAAAAATTGGTGAATTCCATTTACCTCTTCATTCATATTTGTCAAAGTGTCCTGAATCCTCTGCAAGATGAGTCTTAAGCTTCCAACTTCATAGTGTAATGCCTTTGGATTATTTTGTAAAAAGTTAGGAAATCATAGGGTCTTCCAATCAGAAGTCATAAACAAAATGAAGAAATAGAATATCAAACCTCTTTGTCTGAAATTAAATTCTGTATCTCAGCATCTTTTACTGATAAAGTTTTCTGAAGGTAAGGCTGGTTAAGAAAATACTTAAAATATAATCTATAGATGAAAGTGTAAATAAATTTGTGTTATTTGATAATGATAACTATTCCATGCTAGTAAGGATATATCTTCTAATTGAGCTTGGTTACTGTTGCTAAGTTTTGCTGCATCCAGCTTTGCTTCAAGCTCTGAGATGACTCTTTCCTTTCTTCTTAATTCAGCGTCGTTGTTTTCCAGTTTATTTCTTAGGTCAGAGATATTTTCTAGAACAAAAAGGGAAGTTTTTCAGCTGATAAAACTTACAAGGGAGGTAACACAGCACATATATACAGGTATTATTTTTATCATACTGACATATTTTAAAATGTAAACAGGGTAATCGGATTTCTAAATTACCAACAAATGCTTTTTCAAATGCAGAGACCTGATCCATTTTGATTTTCAAGCTGGTCACTGAATAAAGGAAAAATAAAAATAATTGAATAAGCAAGGAAACTTCTATGGTTGTATGAATACCCACAAATGAGAACACCTTGGAATCAGTACTAGTTCGAAAACTACTCACCAATTTCCTCTTTATCATTAACAAGGTGCTGCACTTTATCCACAATTTGCTTGATATTAAACGCCTCCTTCTCTATAGAATCAAATAATAATAGATGAGAGTTTATCTTCTCTGAAAGTACACTGAGCACCCTATCTTTGGTTTCAATTGAACGTTTCATTTGAGAAGTAGATTCCTGCATAACCCATTTTTTGAAATCCAAATAGATACTCAATGGCAGTCCATAATTAGAAAAGTTACATTTATTAGTTCCTCTATAAAATTTAAGCCTTCATTGTGTAGGTGAAATCTACAGCAACACCCAAAATCCTAATTCTCAAATCTTAAGGTTTAAACCTACTAACCCCACTCTTGCTCCCTCCACCCACCAAGTCAGAAAAGTTTCAGTTATGCTCTAATAAAAATTGGCTTACTATAATGACATAGTTATCTGACAAAATGTCCCAAAACTGACCTTACCAATTTCAGATTTTCAGTTATGATCAAACTCAGGTACACTTCGTTTATTTGCCTAATTGAACCGTGAAAGGTAATTGTAAACATTGAAATGGGAGGGCTGGGGGGGAGCCTCTCTTCCTAACTTCGTTTATCAATTTAGCATTATACTTTTTTCCCTAACTTAACATGATTTATACAATAACATTTAATAACAAATAAAACAAATGCCAATCAAACACAATAACCTCGTAAGCATGCACAAAATTATCCCTGGACTGAAGTAAGCTATTTAGTGCCCCCTTCAACTCTTTGTGCTTGTTTTCAAGCAGCACATTATCGTTCTGTAGGTAATTCACCTGCATTACGAACAAAAATGAATTATTATTTAAAAAAATTCAACGACCGCATGAATATTAAATTCCCCAAACCTTTCTCTCCAGTTTCTGGCGCTCTTCTTTGATTGAGGCCAACTCGCCCTGCAATTCCTGTATCTTTCTGCTACACTCTTCCTCATTCCGCTTCTGCTTCTGCTCTCGCTCTCGAATATCACAAACCAAATCAGCATTAAAAAAAACGCTACACGACGAAAAAATGACCTAATTGAACAAAAATCGATCGAAAGAGAGAAGATCGAAAACCTGGATGAGATGACGGTGCTGATCGGTGGCTGAGCGTTCCCTGTCCTGAAAGAGTCAAAGTTAGTCGAAGAAGAAACAGAGGAATCGACCATGGACGAAGATCGTTACCCTGAGATCTCGAACTTCTGTAATGAGCGCTTGTACTTGAAGCTTAACCTTCGAAAACTTGAGCAACTCCATCACCGTTCTTCTTCTTTGCGTTTCAAACGCGCCAACGTTTTATAGTCCTGGTCTCGCTGAGAAACGGTGCCGTTTCGGATCAGATGACACGGGTTTTTGCGGATGGTGTTTTACTTACGGGTCGGGTATAAAAGATAATCCTAAAGCCCTGGTTTACCCGCTATGTATGGGTTTGGAAGTGGGCTATAGATGCTACCCAAGAACAATCTCCTAGGACCTTAGATGCAAGAAAAATTTTAATCTACTCTAATGTTATAGTAAGGATTTGTATGTCTGAATCTGCCTCGTGTTGAAATTTGCCATTTGGATTACATTTTTTACATTAGAAAATGCATGGTTGTAAATCATATTGTTATCTCCATGTATAAAAATTAAGAGCTCGTTTATTATAGGCCGGGAGCTTATGCTCTTTTTCCAAAAGTAGAAAAAAAAAAAGAATTGAAATGGGATTTAGAAGGAAGAAAAGAATATAAATGAAAAGAAAATTTCTTTTTTTAGTAAAGGACCATCAAATAATATTGTGCTCCTGGAGCACATTTAAAAAATCCAAAAATTAAGGTAAAAAAAAGTACAATTAAATGCTAAAAATTATAAAGTAATGTACGTGAAAGTATGTGTAGTGTAGATACTCTTTTACATTTGGCTTTAATAATATACGCCATTAGGAAAATTAAGTATATATGTATTTCTCGAGTTTAAAGTATTTTTTCACACGTGTGTCAACTCATTTCCTCTTGGGCGATTATTGCTTTCTCACTTCTCAAAATATTTTCTAACAGGAATGAGAAGAGATTAAGTTTGGCTTGAGATAAAATAGGAATATTCTGGAATAACTATGCATAATATAAAAGTTTAATAGATAAAATGTTATTACAAAAATATATAAAGTTTTGATTCAGTTTGAATTAATAGTTTTTATTTTAAAAATAGGAATATTCTTGTTAAATAATGATAATCATGTTAGCTTTTACATAAAAGAAAAAATTGTTGTGACGCTTGCGATAAGACCTTCGAAAACAACCTTAGGGACAGTCATTAACTGTCAAAAATTATATTTTGAACTGTCGCTTAATGCCAAATATATTGTGATGACAAAAACAGTAATAAGAACTCCTCCAAAGCTGATTTTGCATAGCATTTTTCGTCTTTCAGATACTCATTGTTCACAAGTATAAAAATAATAATATAAGCGAACAGTTTTGCAGCATTTAAACAAGATGGGTCATTAAATGTAAGACAGTAAGCAATAAGTACATGTTCAAAATATTTTGGGGTCCCTAATGCAGAAGATGGATCAATGTGTTGTTAGAAAAATGCCAGTTGTCAGCAGTGGACCATTTTAAAGCACGCCAAAATAGCTCTAACCCAGATAGGTCCTTAATTACATGTCTTCCGCCATGATTGGATTGCAGCTGGCACCCTGTCTCTATTTATACTGGTTTGTGGTGTCCTTAAATCACATAATCATTATTTTTCCAATTCATATTCATTTTTACGAAGGTGGTTAAAATCCATATTTTAAGTAAAATTAGATGGGACTAAAAAATCGTAAAACGTAGAATCGTAATGTAAAAAAATTGTAAGAAATCGTAAAAACGTAAAAGTGTTTGGAATATTGGTAAAATCGTTTTGATGAAAAAAAAAATCGTAAAATCGTAGTAATAAATCGAGATCTTAACAACTATAATTTTTACAATTTCAATTAGACTTTTTTTTCGAATATAGATCTACGGGGCCTACTTTATACAGTGATAGTTGTTTTATCGTGATAATAGAGATGTCAAATTTAATAATTGATATATTTATATTAGATTTTTGTGCCTTCTTTCATGCACTTATGGGAAGCTACTTTAGGAGAATTCGGTATAGGAGAAATTTTTTAATGATGGGAAAAAAAAATTAGAATATGATAGGTAATTTTTTTGGCACGGGTAAGTTACAAAAAAGTGTTTGGTAGACAAAAAATTTACTGAGAAAGTTGAGTTATTTTTACAATGCTATGTTCGGTTGATAGTGAAATATTGATGGAAATGTGTTATGATATTACCAAATTACCTATATTTTTAGTCAAATAATATTAAAATATTAAAATGACAGTCAACAAAGTACATTGATATCCATTGTAGTTTACAAAATTTCGAATTCCAAGAAATTTTGATGAACCCCTCTCCTCTCTCCGGCATTGGGGACTCAGATTAAAACAATATCACATTTCAGATTGCAATTTTTTTTCATTGCGCAGTACAAAACGAAATGCATGGGAGGAATATTATACTGATATTTTCTAACCTGAACCCATACCAAACGAAGTTAATATATTTTACTTACACAACTTTCCCTGCATTCTTATTAAATTCTTCATACCAAACACCCCCTTAGAGATTAGCAAATTGTGCATTATAATAACAGCATAGTTAAAGGATGAGGTATATGCACAGTGACAATTAAGAGAGAGTTTAAAATCTGTGTACCTTATTGGTTTAACCCTTTATTTAGTAACGAGTTACCTAGCAGGAGTGTATTTTTAGGCCTCTTAAGAATATTTGAGACGCAAGTTCAACTGTTTAGCTGTTAGGATAAAATCATCATTAGTTTGCCTAACCTTCCTTTTATGTTGTCATTTATTGGACCTTTTAAAACTGTGCCTTTGTTAGGTCCATAACAATAGTATTTGGACATAAATTATTTTTATTTAGTTATCATGTTTAAAATATATTTTTAGGGTTTATAATTTCACCATCAACATGAGATGAGATAAAATTATCTCCATCAATCACAAAACTACATCATTTTGTGGGTTAGAGAAATAAATACATGGTATTTTTTGTAAAATTCATATAACAAGAAACAAATGAAATTCTTAAAATATCCTTCATTAATTTTTCAAATTTTCAAAACTACGTTGATATAATTCTTAAATGATAGAGATAATTTTATCTTATGCTGATGGAGAAACATTAAACTCATGTAACTCATGTTGATGGGTTTAATGTATCTCAAGTCAATAGAGATAACTTATATCTAGTGAGCCCAAAATGACGTCGTTTTGGAATTGTAAAAAATGTATTTTTGTAATTCTAATTTATTATAGGGTTATATTAGTCTTTATCATTATAATTTTTTAATCTTTCAACCCAAAACTACGTTATTTGTAGATAAATTATTCCACCGACTGGAAATACATTAAACCCATTTTTAAAGGCTTTAATGTTTCTATAGTGAATGTAGATAAATTATTTATATTCACTCCTAAAACAAAGTCATTTTGGATAAAAAATTAAAAAATTATAATGAGAAAGACTATTATAACCCTGAAATAAATTATAGTTACAAAAATATCTTGATTTTTACCCCAAAATAACGTCGCTTTGAACTTAATGTAGATAACTTATCCACATTAATGAGAAACACTATTATAACCCTGAAATAAATTATAATTACAAGTGATGTATTTATAATACCTATTGCTGCCCATGTTGTCTGTATGCAATACACATTCTGCATTACCCACATCCTGTTTATGCTAGTCAAACACTTATGTTGCATCCATTCATATTCTACACAATGCTCATTGGAACATCAAAGGTCTACTTGGCTATTTGTCTCATCTCTATTTTGATTTTATTATAAATCATAGTCATCTGATTTTATCCTTGTATCGCAGGTTACTCCAATGGCTGATTCTTTTAACCCGAAGCGCAAATGAACCACTATTCACGGAAGATACTTTTCAACTGCAGGACAATATTCCACTTTTAAGAAACAGTATGTGAAAGAGAAAATCATCGAGCCAAAGAATCTCGATATCAAGTTTTGGGACACTGAAGGTTTTGAAATTTGTGATCTACTGAGCCGCAACCATCTACTTCAGATATCTATTATCAAAGAAAAGTATGTGGAGAATTTGATTCGAGCCTTCTACACTACTGTATCCTTTGATAAAAACACTCTCAAAGCTGAGATTAAAGGGAAATCCATTACCGTTCCACCTACTAAGTGGCCTAGTCTCATTGGTTGTCCCTATGGCAGCCAAACAGACCTTGAAGTGTTCCTTAATTTTGACCGGTCTGCCTTTATTCCAACAATGGTGGAACCTGGTGTACTTATCACAAAATCCAAGTTCAATGTCAACTACCTCACTATAGACACCCGGATTCTTCACTACGTTGTCTTTCACATTCTGTGTCCAACGGCCTCCAACTACTCTGTGGTATATGAATCTGATATGTTTCTTATGTGGGTTATTCTCTCTGGCATAGACTTCAACTGGCCACTTTACTTCTGCTCCATGATAATGAAAGCCCAGTCTTCCGGTCCCCTTCCGTATACCACTTTTATTTATCGCATTATGTGATTTCAGCAGATTGATGACGAGGGTGAGATCCTGATAGAAAACTTGCACCCCTTTGGAGAACACCAGCTTGCTCAAATGCATATCAAGAAAGTTGGTGATGTATGGGGCCGTCAAACAGCTCCTCCTACAGCAGCTGCCCCTCCTCAGGACATTCCAGCAAACGATCCTTCACCGGATACTGCCCCAGCTGATGCCTCCTCTTCCGCGAACTATTCCATGGCTTCTCTCTTGACTTCCCTTACATCATTGAGGACCACCATGCAGTCTGGCTTTGATTCATTAGGGGCTGGCATATCTACTATTCAGGCCCGTCAGACTAACATGGAGTACCTCCTCAAGCGCATTGAGGACCACCTTGACATTCCTCCTCTTCCATCTCTACCTCCACCTGGCTCTGATGACTATTAGTCCCGAATTTTATTTTATGCTTTTGGACTTATATTTTGCTGTGCTATTTTGGATATGCTGCATCTCTAGGCCTCTGACTTTCTGACGTATAGTTGATTAGATTATGAACTCTTATGTACTTTCATGGATTATTACGCTTTCCTTCTAGTTTCTTGCATGGATTATTTTGAGTTTTCTATATATCCACTCATACTTTTTGATGTTGCCAAAGGGGGAGAAAGATACGTAAATTGAGAAA